AGTCTAAATAAATAAATAAATAAATAAAATGCAGCCATTTCTTCCAGGGGAACTGACCTCTGTCATCTGGATATCAGTTGCAATTCTGGGATATCTTTTTGGTGGTTGCATAACTTGCACCTCACCTTTGGACTGTCCTATCCCTTGAGGCTGTGCCTACCTTACTGTCTTTTAGGTGCCAAACCAAAAGGCTCTAAGGATTTTAAAATCTTTTAAGATGTTTGTTGTTTGCTTCTAGCCTGAGGACTCTTACAGTTATATTTATATTGCTCCATATTTGTTTTATGCAGTTGTTATAACCATGGCTTCTTTTTAATATTGATAATGTTGTTTTTATGAGTATATAGTATTCATTTCATCCCAAAGAAAAAGAAATGCAAGAAAGCAAAATGGCTTTCTGATGAGGCTTTACAAATAGCAGAGGAAAGAAGGAAAGCGAAAGGCAAAGGCGAAAAGGAAAGATTTACCCAACTGAATGCAGATTTCCAGAGAACAGCAAGGAGAGATAAGGACGCCTTCCTGAATGAACAGTGCAAAGTAATAGAAGAAAACAATAGAATGGGAAGGACTAGAGATCTCTTCAAGAAAATTGGAGAAATCAAGGGAGCATTCCACGCAAAGCTGGCCATGATAAAGGACAAAAACGGTAGGGACCTAACAGAAGCAGAAGAGATTAGGAAAAGATGGCAAGAATCCACAGAAGAACTATACAAGAAACTATACAAGAAAGACCTCAATGTCCTTGACAAACACGACGGTATAATCACTGACCTCGAGCCAGACATCCTGGAATGTGAAGTTAAATGGGCCTTAGAAAGCATTACTAACGACAAAGCTAGTGGAGGTGATGGTATTCCAGCTGAGCTATTCAAAGTCTTAAAAGATGATGCTGTTAAAGTGCTGCACTCAATTTGTCAGCAAATTTGGAAAACGCAAAAGTGGCCACAGGATTGGAAAAGGTCAGTATACATTCCAATCCCAAAGAAGGGCAATGCCAAGGAATGTTCAAACTATCACACAATTGCACTCATATCACACGCTAGCAAGGTCATGCTCAAGATCCTACAAGCTAGGCTTCAACAGTACGTGGATAGAGAACTACCAGAAGTACAAGCTGGGTTTCGAAGAGGTAGAGGAACTAGAGATCAAATTGCCAACATTCGCTGGATTATGGAGAAAGCAAGAGAGTACCAGAAAAACATCTACTTCTGCTTCATTGACTATGCTAAAGCCTTTGACTGTGTGGATCACAACAAACTATGGCAGGTCCTTAAAGAGATGGGAGTACCAGACCACCTCACATGTCTCTTGAGAAACCTGTATAAGGGCCAAGAAGCGACAGTTAGAACCGGATATGGAACAACTGATTGGTTCAGCATAGGAAAAGGAGTACGACAAGGATGTATATTGTCGCCTTGCTTATTTAATATATATGCAGAGTACATCATGCGAAATGCTGGCCTGGATGAATCACAAGCGGGAATTAAGATTGCTGGGGAAAAGATCAACAACCTCAGATATGCAGACGATACCACTCTAATGGCAGAAAGTGAAGAGGACCTAAAGAGCCTCTTGCTCAGAGTAAAAGAGGAGAGCGCAAAAGTGGGCTTGAAGCTCAACATCAAAAAAACTAAGATCATGGCATCCGGCCCCATCACTCCTTGGCAAATAGAAGGGGAAGCTGTGGAAGTAGTGACAGACTTCACGTTCCTGGGATCCCAGATCACCGCAGACTGTGACTGCAGCCATGAAATTAAAAGACGCCTGCTCCTTGGGAGGAAAGCGATGGCGAACCTAAACAGCATGATAAAAAGTAGAGACATCACCCTGCCAACAAAAGTCCGCATGGTCAAAGCAATGGTATTCCCAGTAGTCATGTATGGCTGCGAGAGTTGGACTATAAGGAAGGCCGAGCGCCGAAGAATAGATTCTTTTGAACTATGGTGCTGGAGAAGGCTCTTGAGAGTCTCTTGGTCTGCAAGAAGATTAAATCAGTCAATCCTAAAAGAAATCAACCCTGACTGCTCCCTGGAAGGCCAGATAATGAAACTGAAGCTCAAATACTTTGGCCACCAAATGAGAAGGGAGCACTCACTGGAGAAGACCCTGATGCTGGGAAAGATTGAAGGTCAAAGAAGACGAGGACGGCAAAGGGTGAGATGGTTAGACAGTGTCATAGATGCAACGAACATGAAGTTGAGCAAACTTCAGAGAACGGCGGAAGACAGGAGGGACTGGTGGGAGCTGGTCCATGGTGTCACGAAGAGTTGGACTCGACTGTGCGACTGAACAACAACAAAGTATTCATTTTTACTTGTGAGCCACCTTGGAGAGATGGCATATAGATTCTCTGAATAACAAATGATTTAAAAAGCTCTTGCAAAAGCTATGGTGGTATGCATCATCTGGCACAGTAAGGATAAGTGTTTGGTGTCATATGGTTTCATATAGGAAGAGACAGTCCTTCAGATATGTGTGTGCCCAGGTCATGAAATGTTTTAAAGGTAAGCCCCAATATCCTTGTATTGAACTTAGAAGCATATTGTTACACATACTTATGTGGACTGAATCCATTTGGAGGAGAGAGCACTGATGACATTTTTGTAGTATTTGCTTTATTTACATAACGCGCAGATGGAGGCCAAGAAGTACTTTTACAGGATGGTAGAAAGCCCCAAAGGTGCAAGTCAGCTCCCAGCAGTCAGTGTATGCATGCTTCTCTGTCTTTTCCAGAATCCAAACTGCACTTTCTTTACACACAGACATCAGCTGGGTGGAGCAGGGAGCTGATCTCTTCCAAGCTGTGATGGGCAATCGGCTAGAGCCATTTCCTGACATTTGGGCCCTTTGAGAAGATTAGTACACTTGTTAAGACACAGAACCATTCCTTGTGCCGTGTAGATTTGACTGATCCACAGTAATCAAAATCCACGTAACACTACGTAGGTAGCCAAGGAAGCAGTGTTAGCATTGGCATAATATGTATATGGTGGCTGATTGCAGTCAGTAAATAGGTTGCCACATGTTGTGTCAACTGAAGCTTCTTCAGCTGAGCTTCAAGGGCAGCCACACATAGAGCGCATTACAGTAATCCAGTCTAAAGGTTACAGAAGCTTGGATTCACGTAACCAGGCAATCTAAGTCTAGAAGGGAGGATTTCTTATAGACAAGATGAAGATTAAAGAAAATCCATCTAGCAGTTAATCAAAGCTGAAAGGTTGGGTCCAGGAGCATTCCCAGAGTCTTCATTAGCTGACAGAATGCAGTTTCAGTGCAGTGCCATGATCAACCATGAAATCTTGTATGCCTTGTTTTTGGTAGTTCTGTTAATGCTAGGATAAATACTGTAAATAAATAAATAATTGCTTAATTCAATAACACTGACATTTTTTCTCATAAAGAAGCCAAAGGAATGTTATAACTCCCCCCTCCCCCCTAAAAAAACCCCCAGTCTGCAAAAGACTTCTATATATATAAAAAAGAAAGTCCCCTGACTGTAAAATCAATGCCCAGGCCAAACGGCTGGACCTAGAGACACCAAGTTTGGGGAGAGCGCTCCTACCGTGGCGTACGTGCTCACTAAGAAGAGATTTTTAGAAATTCTACCCCTAAGTGGGTCAAAAGGGGGGAAATGTGCTCCCCCCATTGATTCCTATGCAGCTGGTATTTAGATGGGAGATTGCCCAGGAATATCAGGGTTGCTATGCAGAGGCAGGCAATGGCAATCCACAGTCTTTTGCTATGAAAACCCTATGGGGTTGTCATAAGTCAGCTGTGACCTGATAGCACTTTACACACAGAGCTAACCCAGGGGCTGGTGTTAGTGCACAGTGACTGAAATAAAACGACATCCTCTTGATTGGGGTAGGATGTGTGTTGTCAGTGATAACAGCTATTTTGTACAGAACCTTTTTATCTAGCCTCAGCAGGACCAAGCAAGGCTTGTCATTCAGATGACAGGACCATTAGCTGTGAAGGCCTATTAATAATTGATTGCTTTAAAAAAGACTCTAGGGTACCTCTTCTTCATGCCTATACTGGTTTTTATACATTTCACTTGACAGGACGAAACAAACATCAGCTAGCAAGAAGAGGTGCATATATCCCAATCCAGGTATCTTTTTCTTTTAAGTTGTTCCAGTACAGTGCCAGGCTCTGACTTCTGTCACACCTCTTGTTAATTTAGTTATTTTCCTTTTTCATTAATTCTTTGATTAGTTACATGAAGTAAACAGTTTATGTAGTTTCTCCTTTTGTTGCTGCAGAGTAAAAAAAAAGTGCTTTGATAGGCAACAGGGTCTGTCATAATGAGAGCGTCTATAATCCACGTTTCACAATTCAGCTACTATCCAATAACTTTGTGAATGGATCTTAGCATAGGATGTCTTTTTCAGAAAATATTGAGAACTAGCTGTATAGTGCTGGTGGTGGGAGAGAAACAATGTTGGGGAACTAATATTTCCTTCTGTTTTTCTGTAGGTCCTGAAAAGTACAATCTATCTCCTCAAAATTAGGTCCTAATGTAAAATTCCTCACAAGGTATTAAGGTGAGATGAGATTCCTGCGCGCGCACACACACACACACACACACACACACACACACCCCTTCTTCCTTTTGCCTAGCAGTTTGAAATATGCCCCTTTTTTCTTGACAGAACTCTCTTTCGGAGACCAGAACTGTGCCTTTTTATAATTTTAGGGGCTTACAATGGAATAAGAGTTTGTATTCCTCTGTTTACAGGAGACAGTAGATTGCAACGACCCAGCATGAGTATGCTCATCAGGCACTAAGAATGGGGAAATAATGGTTGGCAGAGAGAGAGGCTCTTTTTATCCTTCTTCAGGAGTACAACACAGTGCAGAAGTGCCACTAATGAAAGAAAGACACTGGCTGCTAAAAGGACTCTTAACGTCTCTTCTTTGCTGAACTTTGTCACTAAACCTTAGCAGCATTATTCTTTTGGGATGTTGTGGAATATTCTCTAAAACCAGTAAAATAAGTGGGAAAATGTCACAGGAACTTAACCTCAACCTCTTGAAGGGACTGGAGCAAGAGATTATTCTGGATGTCTTGTATCGTGACCAAATATTGAGAAAGATGGATGAAGAAAGAGTGAGGTAAATTACCATTCTAAAATATGGTGTGTCATTGTCCCCCCCCCCTCTTTTTTGGCTTTTTCCTATTGTGGCTTTTTTAAAAAAGTGATACTTCTACCAGCTTCTTCACTGGATTATTCTAGTGATGAAATTGCAGCTGGCATAGTTTGCTGAAAGAAATTTATTAAATGTGTTTAGTCATGACCATTTGTACAGGAAAGACTGCTGCAAACCTTACTCAAGGCATAAGAATTTATACTGAACTTCACAGAAAGTATATAGGGACCAATTTATTGAATTTGTTTTCTCCAGGTTTCTGTAACTTCAGTTATGCCAGAACTCTTCAAAGATCTTTAGAAACCAATTGTGATTCTTCAGTACAACTTTCTAGTAAATTTCTCAACAAAAATAAGTCTTATTTATAGGCCAAACAAACAAACAAACAGAATCATAAAATCACAATGCAAATAGTTACGTTGCCAGCTATAGTATAAAAGTCAGAACCATAACAACAAATATTAATTATATAATATCTTCCATAGTAATAAACAGCACCATACCAAACATTACTTATCATAATAAAAATGTTCATCAGTAGGACTTACATCAGGAGATCTTAACTTTATCTTCGTCTTAACATCCATGACAATAAACTTTGCCATTTCCAATGTTAGATGTTCAAAACAGCCTTGGGGACCCTTCATTGGATGGCTCACAGCATAAAGAGAATGAATTTAACTTCTGCTATAATTTTCTTGATTTATATAACCCATCTAGAGCTCCCCATGAAGGAGAATGTATAGTTATATGGGGTTGTGTATGTTTCCCACCATGGGGCAAATAACAGCTTGGGGGAAATTATTTAAATTGGAAAAATTACGTAAAAGAAAGGGTTAAACTCCCTGTCTAGCCATGCCACAGTTCCGGTCCTACAGAAGAGGCCCTGACTGCTTTTAACATTTGGGGGGGAAAGTAGAAGTGCCATCTCATCTTATTTGGCTGTATGATTGCAGCAAAGAAGCAAATCCAGTCTTGCATCCCCTGAGGTTAGCCAGTACTCCAGCATAACGTTACAGTGTGTAGATACTGTGGAAAAATGAATTATGGGTTGACCCTCATTTGCACTTGGTCTACGTCCCCTATGCCAAGTAAAGTGAATTATCTCCTAAAATGGTTTCAAGCAGCTACCCAGACAGAGATTGCTGTGTTGATAACTATGCAGAAGCATTTATATTATTGTAGTCACTTGTCTGTGAATATGTGTGCATATTTCTATTTCTTCTGTTTGAGAACAGGAAACTAAAAATGCAGCTGCAGCAACTTCGGTGGAAAGGGTCAAAAAGCACCAGCCATGAATACCCAGAGAAGTCATGTGCCCGCTGTCAGAAAGCTCTTGGAGTGCTGATGAATAGAGGTGCTGTGTGTAATGGGTGCAGCCATCTAGTATGCTCTGAATGTCGCATCATTCTGAATCCCTACATGTGGAAATGCACTCTCTGCTACACTCATGAGTGAGAAATTCTACATCAGTTGTTCAACAATATTTGAATTGTTGGTGGTTGTATGTTGCTTGTTTTCTGAAATTAATGAGGGCAGATGCACCACATCTGTTGGGCAGGCAGAACTTTGTCTTAGGCATCATACCCATGGGAGTTGCAGAGTAATCAGCTGGTGGAAAGAAAGGTCAAGGGAAGATTTTTGTATGTGAACTGGAAGAAGTGGAAAATAGCATAGCTCCAAAAAATAATATAGAGAGGCATTGTTAGAATCTTGGGAGAAGGGAAAGGAAGAGAGTCAAGAATCCCTGTCCACGATGATGCTGAAATGCCTGAAATGGGTCATTCCCCAATCATATGTTACTGTGTTTATGGTAGGTATGAGTTGATTTTCAGAGTGCCTTGGGTGCAATCCAGCCCAGCTGTGTAATGAAAGCACATGGGAGGTCCAATCACATGAGGGTTTCTCATTTAATCACTGCCGAGAGGGAAGCCAGCTTCTTCTTGTCGGTCAGGATGCCAGCCAGCAGCAGTCTCATCCTTTTCTCACTCGTAAGCCTGCTTCTGGCCTTTAATGTCTTTACAGGTGGCAATCAGTTTCCCCTACGGAGTTCCATGGAGTCTCTGTAGTATATCTAGTATTGCCAACGCATGCTTGGAAAATACCTGGAGATGTGGGGGTGGAGCCTGAGAAGGGTGGTGTTTGGGAAGGGGAGTGACCTCAGTAGGGCATAATGCCATAGAGTCCACCTTCCAAAGCAGCCATTTTCTTCAGGGGAAGTGCTCTTGGTCTTCTGGAGATCAATTGTAATAGCGGGAGATTTCCAGGTGCTGCCTGGAGATTGGCAACTCTAAGTATACTATAGGAGAAAGAGTAGAGCATCCACCCTCTGTAGCCAATCTAGGGCTTCTATTTCTTTTAGACTCTATGGTGTGCTGGAGAGTCTACCCTCCAAAGCTGCCATTTTCTTCTGAGGAAATTATATCTGTAGTTTGGAGGTCCATTGTAATTCTAAGAGAATCCCATGTCATAGTTTGCATTTGGGAAACCTACATAGAATCATAGAGTTGGAAGGGACATCCAGGTCAGGAAAAAATTGCTTCCTGACCCCAATGTGGCAATTGGCATTTCCCTGAGCGTGTAAGAAAGGGCCACAAGAACTAAGCACAGATGCAGCCCTCCCTGTCCTCCCTCCCTCTCATGATCTGCCTAAGTTCACAGAATCAGCATTGCTGACAGATGGCCATCTACCCTCTGTTTGAAAACCTCCAAAGAAGGAGAGCCCACCACCTCCTGAGGAAGCCCATTCCACTGAGGAACTGCTCTACTGTGTATATGTACACAAGGGTCGTTTAGAAGAAAAAGAACTAGGGGAACTCATTAGCATAACTCATTAGCATATGCCAGCGGGGCGGCCGGAAGCAGGGGGCGGGGCTTCGTCATGTGCCTCGCCCGCCATACCTCACCCGGGGGAACTGCGATCCCCCACGATGGAACTGCTCTACTGTGTATATGTACATATCCTGATGACAAACAGTGAATAATTAGAAGTTGGTGGTGTGAAGTGCCTTCAGGCCACAGGGTTTTCAAGGCAAGAGAGGAACAGAGGTGGTTTGTTTTTGCCTGTGGTAGCAACCCTGGAATTCCTTGGTGGTCTCCCATCCAAATACTAACCAAGGCAGACCCTGCTTAGCTTCCAAGACTTGACAAAATTATCTTCTGTCATTTCATTCTTTACCTGGATTGTTTAAATTGTGTTGTTATCTAGCTCTTTACACTATTGCATGTTTTCCCCAACACAGGTCTGTATTACATATGGCATTGTGTAGTCCATTTTGCTATTTTTTGAAATAATTAACTAAATTTAGACATATGTAATGTGCAGAGAAAATATTTTAGATAGATTTTTAAAAAATCCATTGGCCCCACGAAGACGTAAGATTTCCCAACATCTTAACCATGGTTAAGAGGTTAAGAACATGTTGCAAGCTCCTATGCATCTCCCTCTTATTTTCTGCCAGAATTTCTTCTCTTCTAGTGTCTTTTTGTATGTAAAACACAAGCAGGTGATGCTGCTGCTTTCACTTATACATTGGAAACTTTTGGGAACAAACTGGCAAAAATTAATTGCAGTGAACTCCCATTCTGCTGTTTTGAATCTGATAATTGCACCATTTTAAAAAAACGAAGTATTAGCACTGAGCTTGATGTTATATCTGCACTACAGTGAAAGCGAACCATGAACCTTCCCTCCTCCTTTTGCCCTCACAACAACCCTGTGAGGTAGGTTAAGAGTAAAGAGAGTGACTAGGTTCAAGGTGAGGTTCATGGCTGAACAGTCTGTTGCAAACCATCACATTACATTTGCTCTTAAACCTTGTTTATAACCCTGGTTAAGTGGTAACTGAGGTTCCTTTACCTCATGAAACTTTGAGAATGATTTTTTAAAAATGTCCGCATATGATTATGAAAATTACTCTCGTAAAAATGTGTGTATAGAAGGTTCAAATGTTTGTTGTTTGTTTTTGCAGAGATGTTAAAGCAAAAGCAGGTGAATGGTTTTTTGAGGAGCGAGCAAAGAAATTTCCAGCTGAAGGTAGTTATTAAAAACAGCTGCAAATCACTATATGGTGCTAAATGGAATGCAAGATATATTGCTAATTTTTATTTTTGCACTTCACATTATTCTTATTTAGCAGGAAATAAGTCTAATCTGAAATAATGGATCTTCTGGAATGTAAAAACATGAGCCTATAAGAGTGCAAAATGCTGTTTTCTTTGGCTATAAACCTGGAGATCTTAGATTTATATTAAAAGTCAAGTATTTTCACTATGTAGAATATATTCCATCTAGATCATACATTTTTACTATGGATAACTGTTTATATTGGACCCTTACTGATACCCATTAGTGGCTGAGAGCAATGCATGCCATTTTACATCATTCCTCTTATTATATTGGAGAAATAGCTGCACACCAGCCTATCCCCTGTATGCAGAGTGGACGTGTAATCTGAGTTGAATGAAGACTGTGGGTTGGATCCAAAGGTAACCTTCAGCTCCTGAAAGGAGTCATTCCAATCACACATGAAGTCCTGCTGTGAGGACCTAGTTGGATCCAATCTGTAAAGATCTATGGCACTGTGCATATGCAAAACAACTAGCCATAAAGAAAACATAATGTACATTTCCTGAATTTGGGAAGCTGATCATGAAGGAGGGCAAGCGATATGTCTGTGTTGGTGGAACAGCCCAACCCTCCTGAAGCCCTACAAATGTAGCTAAAAATTAAGTGGAGAGAACCAGTTGTACAGGCAGGGCATTTGGCTACGTTCCAGCTGGGTACATTCCATCCCTTAATGGAGAGTTCAAAAGTCTTCTTTAGAAGAAAGAAGTTGAATTCTCTAATGCTTCACACCCTAATTCTTTCTTATAACAAGAACCATTTTCTAAGTACCCCTGACCACCATTTTAAATTGCTAAAGGCTCTCTTCCATTCCATTGCTGCATGCTGGATTTTTGTGTGTGTGCGTGTGCAATAGCATGTTCCCTACTGACTTGAAAGCTAATAATTTGTTTGTTCTTTTGGTTTAAGATATTTCTGAGAAACTTAACTGTCTTACAGTACACTACCAGCGCTTCAAAATGTACACAATTGGCTGCAGTGTGTAAAATGGCAGGCTAGATATTGCATGGCGCCAGTGTTGTTAAAGCAATTAAACTTTAAAGAGTGATAATTTGAACAGCTAACAAAATGACAAGCATCTCCAAAGCTGCTTTCACTTGGGGCACGCGAAGAAGTACCTCCATCATCACGGGAGCAGCAGCTTCCCTTTCTGCACCACTGATCACTCTGGGAACACTCCATGACCCTAAAACCTCCTCCACACCTTTACCTACTGACCCATGCTATAACATTACTGCTCAGCTCAACATGGAAAGAACTTAAAAGGTGGTGGTGGTACACAGCAGTTTCCATGGGGCAGGAGGAAAATCCCTGTGTGGAAACAGTGAAAAAAATTTTTTGGACAAAATATGGACAATAATATTTCAGGACCAGAAAACAGGGACCATCCTTGGTAATAAACTGGTGCAAGATATGGAACCTCTGAATTGATAATCAGAGCAGCTATGAATACCAAAGATAACTACCATTAGGGACATATCCATAGTGAGACCTGGCCCTTTTCTCTTACTTCAGCTTGCTTTCTTTTCATTTTTAAAGGCTAGTCCTTTCACTTACAGAGATGCAAGCACAGGGATGCCAGTCTCCAGGTGGGACCTGGGGAGCCCCCAGAATTACAGGTCATCTCCAGACTACAGAGATCAGTTCCCCTGGAGAACTGATGGTTCAGAGGGTGGACTCTATGGCATTGTACCCCTCTTAGGTCTGTGTCTTCCCCAGGCTCCATTCCCAAATCTCCTGGAGCTGGGAACCTCCCCCCCACCATCACAGTGGCTGGGGACCTTGAAATACTATGTAAACAGCAATGAATATTGTGTATTTGACACAATAACTCAGGTAGGGGAAAAATTGTCCCCCATTCTTTTCAAGGCATGGCATAGAGTGGCATTAGAATGGCTGAGAAGCACAGATGTTTGTATTTATGCAATTATTTAATAATTTTAAACCAAATATATTGGTGTACATATATTTTGCTTACAGCTGTGCCTTGATGTACCTTTAGGTCTGTTAAGAATTTCAAATTATACAAAAACTGGTCCAAGTTAAAAGCTGCAGTTTGGACATATAGGCAGCTTAAATCCTTTTGGTTAATGACATTTCAACAACCTTGCTGTGTAGCCAAATACGTTTGTTTTCCTATTTTATGTCTTTTTTGAAGAAAGAATGAATAGACTAAAGGAAAACAGGGAACCATAATTGTAATGATTATTTTTTGTTAATTTTTAAAATTTACAATAATTGCTATTTGGGCAACATGAGCATTCTGACACACGGTAACAGCAAGGAACTGCAGAAATTAGAACTGCCAGTCAGTTAAAATATAACTGATAAGTCATTTAACCATTTAACCAATGAAATTTTAAATATGCATGTTTCTGAAATCTCAGCCTAGGTTCCTTTTTGAGATATTGAAATATCTGTGTGATGTTACAATTTAATGAAGGAAAGATACTTTCCCTTCTCATAGGCCATATTTTCTTTCTCCTTAATGCCCCTGAACCGAATAGCCTCCTCTCCCCCTCCTCAAAAATCGTGTGCTTTTAATTCTCAACTTCACCAGTTAGGTTAAATTTTAACAGATTAGCCCTCACCTGGATAGCCCAGGCAAGCCCAATCTCATCAGCTCTCAGAAGCTATGCAAGGCCAACCCTGGCAAGTACTTGGAAGGCAGACTTCCAAGGAATACTAAGGCTGGGACTCAGAGCTTGCAGTAGTAAGCCACCTCTATGAAATGGCCAAGCCCCACTAGGGGTCGCTAGAAGTCAAACATGACTTCCAAGCATGAGCGCGTGCGCGCACACATTACTCCTTTCTGATCTTGAGGAGCCAATATATCAATGACCACACACTACTCACCAAAAAAATGTATTTAACAGATTAAAATCGGCCCCTATCAATTAGCATTTAAAATGTTCAAAGTTCTGTGCGTGGGTATCCTCTTGAAATACCCACGTAGGCTGCTTCCACACAGAGTCCATTTTCCATGTAGCTCCCATTGCTGCTGTAAATATGGAGGCATTTGCTGTGGGAACAGAGAGTGTACATAGCCATTTCCCTAGTACTTTTCTTTCCTCAGTCCCCCACAGCAACCATGCCACCCCCTCCACTGGAAGGGTTTAACCCGGTAATCATTAGATCACTGTAGCATTATAATCTATTTGTTCCCAGTTTGTATTTTTGAAAAACTGTAGCATTTTTTGCTGGGAAGTTATAGGGTAAAATGCACAACCTGCAACTCGTAACTCTGCAAGGGAAAGGGCTATATACAAAAAAAGAAGGCTAGGAACACATAAGATTGTGGCAATAAATGGTTGTAACATTATTGCACTACAGCAGTTTGTCAGTTACTGATTTTATTGACACCTCCCCAAATCCCTTCAATAGTATTGGGGAAAATGGTGGCGATGGGAGTTGTGGTAAGGAAAACAGTGTTGCTTTCCCCATCTATGCACCATCTAATGGCACTCTGATTGCAATTTCTTCGAAAAGATCACATCAAACCAAGAAAAAACACAGAAGCAGGATGAATAGAGGTGGGTGCTCCTGAAAACAGTGCTGCTGTATGGATGCCAAGGCAGAGCAAAACAAATGCGTGGAAGCATCCATAGAATAGCAAAGCAGGAACGAAGGAGTTCTTTCAACAGATTTCTTGTACAATGCACACCGACCTCTCTGTTTTGGTGGTGTAACCTGACATAGAAGATCTGGTAGTTGATTACTGTGAGAAAGTCGTCATTGTCACTTATTTAACTGATTACACTGGTGTTAGAGTTACCTTCTGTATTGTTTTAGTTAATAATTTATCTAAGGCATAATGATTATCTTTGTAAGTAGCTGTGATAGCAGAATGAGATTTCTGCTGTTAATTATTGATGCTTGGTGCTTTTGCTATGTGCTGTTCTTTCTTAATTTGGAACATGTGATTGGTCACTTGGCTCTCTTGAATTGCAAGTATTGCTTACCTGATTGTAGTGACAAAGTTTAGTAAGCAGAAAGATAATCTTTATTGTTCATACTTGTATGCAGGTTTCTAAGTGTTATAAATGTTCAGAATAACAGTCCATTTTCTCTCATTATCCTGTTTTCTCTGAATCGTACTGATAAAATTCTGCCTCCAGTTAACGCTTCTTCCATCCACATAACAGTCCATTTTCTCTCATTATCCTGTATTCATTGAATCGTACTGATGACTGATTTTCTGCCTCCAGTTACGCTTCTTCCATCCATGATCGTACACTGGATGAAAATCTGGAAGAGCACTTTATTTTTTTCAAATCTCATTTATTTTAAATTGCTCACAAAATCTTTTGAGAATCCCTAAGGGTGGGCAAAATAAAAAAAATGTAACAATGCAACAGAAAGAACTATGGAAGTGCAGTTTTATTGGTTCCAAATGACCTTGATGGGTTGTCTTTTTGTTTCCTAGATAGGCATGAAACTGCTGGCACAAAGCTCCTGAAATCTTATCAGAAACTAAGGTAAGGATAAGAAGGACAATGTGTCCTAGAGAAGCTGATGCAGGGAGTATATCGTACAATACAGACTACCGTAGATTGTCCTGTGACATTTTCAGCAGGTGTCAGTGTTTGTTTTAAGCTTGTCGTAAAAAAGCAGAGTTGTATCCTGACCCTTTTGATTAAATTTCTGAATAACGTAGGGCATAAGCAGGTGTTAACATCAGGCTGCTGCCAGAAGAGCTACTTTGTGTCGAGTCCCCTGCTTCTCTATCTGTAACTACTAGTACAACGTATGCCATGCCCTGATGTCATTGGTGTGTGTGTTTCACTACCAACAGCAGCCAGCGATACAGAGCTGGGGTGGGGAGATGTACAGTGTAATGAGATCAGAACACAGGGCAAATTGTGCTAGACGGGAAGTGATGGGAATCTTCCCATGTTGCTGCCATCAAAAATATTCTTTGTAACATTTAATTCCACCCTTTAGGTGGCACACTTTGTACATATGATTTCTTTCCATCACCTTCCTAATTACTCTAGCAACCCAATTAATGACTGTTTGTAGGGGCAGGGCTGAAGTAATTTGCAAGGGATGGTGGGAAAGTCTCTGATCACATTCTAGCATCCTCTGCAATATGGCAAAGATCCTTGGGTGAACCCTTGGATCATGCAGTGCAGCAGATTAGAACAGCAGAATGTTTTGGGCTAGTCCTACCTACATTCTGGACTGAAACACCTTATTTAAAAGTCTCTTGCTTTGACTTCATTGGGACTTATTTCCCTGTAATATTTTGGTGCTAAAGTTTTATTGACATTTTAAATGGATGGGCGACTCAGTCGTGTGAGCCCACGTTAATCACAGTTAGCGTAAAACAGATACTTGGAAAGAATTCCACTCCCAAATTCTTATACCGGGGGAAGACCACCACAGAATTGCATCTGCTTTCCTTTGATCGAAGAGGCCTTGTGATAAATTTCAGCCATGGCCACATAAGAACATAAGAACATAAGAGACGCCAATGTTGGATCAGTTTCCCTACTCCCAGCACTGCAGTATATTTATTTGTCCCATGTGGCATTGTAGGATGGCTTCTATTCTAGCTACACTACACATACACCCAGCAGTGCTGATGGAAACTGCAGAGCTCATGGTATGTTTGGATTGGGAGTCCAGATGTGACCTTTCATTAGCAGAGTAGCCCTTAAGATTGATCCTGTCAGCAGTTGTGCTTGCTGATACACAACATAGCTTAAATTTTTCTATATGTTCAATAAATCCTTGCTCAATACCTTTTCACAGACAGCTTGTCTATTCAGGAAAGGTTAAACATAAACACTGAGACTGATGGGAAAGTGATAGAAAGCAAATGTGCTATGGAGTAATAAGCACTGACTGTTGAAATTTGTTTTTCAGCAAAATACTTAATTATGTATCTAATTCAGGCCCATCATTGGTATGAAGAGATTTGCTATAGTTTCCTTCATTCTTCTGCAGGCACATCTGGTGTGTTCCCTTTTCCACCCCACTACTAAATTTTAATTTGGGCATGGGAATGCTATACACTCTTTAAAGGTTCATTACACTCAACAGTCATGTAACAGAATGTATATTTCACACCTATGAAAATATTTTTTTAAAAGCCTTCTGACTTGAATTTTAAACTCCTGGATTAAATGACTGTTGCCTCTTTGCCATGCACTGTGCCTCCCTATGTTCTGACATCTTAACTACAAGAGTCACAGAGATTAGAAAAATGGAACAAAGACGTTGACTCCCAAGGATGTTAGTGCTGAACAAGATGAGACACTGATCACAGATCTTTCTGCAGGTCCCCCCCCCCCCCGGCCGCCCAGTCAAAAACAGTCATGGGAGGGGGGGGGAATGTGATTGGAACCACATCAATGTGGGAGTAAGAATTAAACCAATTCCTCATGTATAATTTCCCCTATACCAATAACTGCCTCTGGGAAGGAAGGTGGCATGGTATGGCCCGATCTCATCAAATCTCAGAAGCTAAACAGGGTCAGTGATTGGGTGATCATGAAGAACGAGTCTGAGGATAAAGGCAGTGGTGAGCCACCTCTGCTTCTCACCTGCCTTGAAAGCCCCTTGCTGAGGTCACTATGACTTAGTTGCAACTTGATAGCACATACATGTGAAATAACTCTCCCCATGCTGCAATTCACCCCATGAAGGAAAATCCACAGGTGTCCATATGGTTCTGTGCACACACACCCCCCCAGCAAGTTGTAACTCTGGGGAGGATATTTCCATTGGAAAAACAATGTGGGGGGAAGATTTCTTGTAAGTCCATGGCCCCAATCTGATTTAGAGGTTTTTAACAACCACCACCTTTACCACCTGTGAGATCTCCCCTGCATTTGTTTCATTTGACCCCTGTTGCTACCCATGTTTGTATTTAATAGTCCTTTGTATGCTAAATAACAGTACAGTGGTTCATATATACAAGTAATGAAATCTGTTGGAAAGAAAAAAAAAGTTGCAGCCTAATATAAGCGTAGGTGCATCATGTATAAAATTATTTATGATGGTACTAAGGGTGGGTAACCTGACATGTCAGCAGGCTGGACATCCCAAAGCTAGAAGTTAAATGTGCAGACTCCCATTTTGACTACTTGTAGTCTTCCCACATTAACAAGATCAGCATTGGTCAACAACTAACTAAAGCTATCAGCTATGATAGCTACAAATCAGCATGATAATAGGTACTCCTTTAAAGAGATACTTCCTCTTTAGTCTGTCTGTGGTCACCATTGCTGAGAAAGATCAAATTCTGCTGTTTAAGATACAATAGATCATTTATGCCTGTGTTAGGTAACATGCTCATGTGTTTAACTGAGGATATTTACTTATCTCAGTTGGCTCAGTTGGTCCAGTCTGTTTCGGACGTTAGGGACTTGGAGTCTTCTGAGTTGTGCTGTACCAGTTATGGAATTCTTTTTGTAAGAACTTGGTATACCCACTTGTTCCATGCCTTTAGGCATTAGAGGAAGACTTCCTTCCTTTAGTCAGTTATCTGTTCTCTAGTGTGTTTTAATTGCTCAGTGTCTATTGTTTCGTAATTTATTACTCTGCATATTATTTTTGTTGTGAACTATGTTGGGTTGTGAACTATCTGTGGTTATTGAATTTTAAACTGCAATGGTAAAGAAAGTGGGAGGAGAGAATTATGATGAATAGAACACTGCAGAAATCTATTGAAATCTTTTTATTATTATTATGTCCCCCCTTACATCTTTAGTAACATTTCTGTGGTTCCTCCAACTCCTCCTCCATTCTCTGAAAATACAAGTGGAGTTAATGCAGTGGTAAAGTATACTTCTGTCTTTCAGTTGAATGGGCTAAACTAGACATACCGCTTTTAGTATTGTCAGCTGTTTCTCTTGTGCACAGTCTTTTTCAAACTCCCCCTCCCCTTTTTAATTGTTTTATTGGATGACATTGTGACACTGTGTGTATGTAAGTCACTTTCTGAGGACCATACGAGATGTGATAGTGGCAGATCTATGTGTTTAAACTCTAGATCTGTCACTATCATGCACAGATATGGAATGGAGAGGAGAACTCACCCCACCTTTGAGCTTATCTCCCTGCATGCAGTTTGTCTCCAACATCACTTGTCCTTCAGCTTGGTACAGGAAGTGACCTCAAATGGGAGATTTTGGGAAGAAGGCACTAGAGATGTAAGTCATTTACACAGGGGTCGTTTCATAGAAAAAGAGCTAGGAGAACTCATTAGCATAACTCATTAGCATATGCCACACACCCTGACATCACCGGAAGTGTGTCATAAGGCCACACACCCCGCCCCCAATGGTCCCGGACGCCGCCGGCAGCTTTGCAGCTCCACTGCCAAGCCCCATGAGGGGCCCAGCAGTGGACCTGCAAGGACGGCGGGAGTGCAAGGAAGCCCCGCTAAGGCCCTCCCTGGCCCCAGGCAGGCAGGGGTGGGGAGAGGCAGGGAGGAAGCAACTTACCCTCCCTCTTCTCCTGCCTCCTCCTGGCTGAATGAGGGCCGGAAGTGGGGCGGCCGGAAGCAGGGGGCGGGGCTTCATTATGTGCCCCGCCCCCCGTACCTCACCTGGGGGAACTGCGATCCCCCACAATCCCCCCCGAAATGACCTCTGCATTTACACTATTTAAACTGGATTCCCCTCCTTCCTACATGATTGTAGTAGATCTGGGTTTAAGAATATGGTTCTACTGCCATTGTGTGTAGTTTGCCTTTCTGTCACTGGGTCTAGATTACAATCACAGCCATTCACACTTGCAGCTTCTTCTAGACAGCCAGTTTAGTGTAGTGGTTAAGTGCACAGACTCTAATCTGGGAGAACCAGGTTTGATTCCCCACTCTTCCACTTGCAGCTGCTGGATGACCTTGGGCAAGCCATAGTTCTGATAACAGCTGTCCTTGAATGGGCAGTTCTTGAAAGAGCTCTCTCAGCCCCACCTACCTCACAGGGTGTCTGTTGTGGGGAGGGGAAGCGAAAAGAATTTGTAAGCCGGTCTGAGACTCTGAGGAATTTCAGACAGCCGATATGTTCCGTTTCGGGAACTGTTCACTAACAGTTTCTGTAGTGACATTTCAGACAGAACCATTTTAGTAACAGTTCCTTAATGAAATATATTGACCCTTTCAGACACAAACACTCCTGTCCAGTTAGGGAAGCATCCCTGAGCCATTTTACCTGCAAACTGCTTCCAAGTGGTCTTCAATTTTTTATACTGTTCCTGAAGCGCTACGGGATGCTGTGTAAAATGCCCCCATAGCGTTTCCTCTGATGATGAGGTTTTCCCGCCCTTTTTCGCCCGTGTGGGTGATCTCTGTCTTTTTTTAACGTTCTTTTAAGAGTGCTATAGTGCTATAACACAGTACCAAAACAGCATAACAGCGACCCCATTGGAATGCCTGGACAACTGAGATACATGAGATCACTACATCTGGGGAGAACAGGGATTTCAATGAAGTACAATGCAATGGAGTCCTCCTTCCACAGCATTCGCTATATGCCTGGGAACTGATATCTGTAGGCAGGAGATAAGCTGTAACTCTGCAATGTTTCCTCTAAGGTGTGGAGTCCTGTGAGCAGAAATTCCATTTTGTGAGCTACTGGCATTAGAATTGTGAGTAAGTTATTTGGCTACTGCATACATTAGTTTGCTTTGGAGTCATCCTTCCTGAGCTAAGACAAAAATGTGTGAGCCAGAGGCTAAAAAACTGTGAGCCAGCTCACACTAACTCAGCTTAGAGGGAACACTGGCTGAAAGTACAGGGGATCCCCAGGTCCCCCCTGGAGGTATGGCATCCCAAAATGCTGGCCATCAAAAGGAGGATGCTGTTTGCAAGCCAGGAAGGAGCTAGTGTTAAAAAAAAATGCTCTCAAACTGTGCATTCCCGAGCTTCCACTTCCTATTTTTAAATCCCCCAATCTCATGTATCTCAATGGAGTCCTCGTATTCCAATGGGGTCGCTATTGTGCTGTTTTGGTGTTGTGTTATAGCGCTATAGCACTCTTAAATGAAGTTTTTAAAAAAGACAACGATTGCCCGCGTGGGCGGAAAAGGGCAGGGAAACAAAGCAGCACAGTCTGAAATGCCAAACCTCTTCAGAGACCCTTACCGGTAGGGGAAAGGCTGTGTGAAATGGCCGCCCCTGTACCAGTTTACTCCAAGACGGTACAATAACAGCTTAAAAAGGGTAATCTGAAATTCCCCTCTGAGTGAAGGGTGGGGTATAAATCCAATCTCAGCTTCTTCTTCTTAGACTCCAGCAGTAACACTGCCATAATGTGATACTTGACATGACAGTTAATTTCCACCTCAGGTTGGCATGGAAATATTCAGAGGCATTTTTCCTCTTTGGCCATACTCTCCAGTCTCAGCCTTATAGCTGTCACCTCTTTTCTTATTTTCCTTGCTGCATTTTTAGAATTAACTTCCACCATCCCTATCTCTCCACCCCTGTAATATTGCTTCATGTAATTAATACATCTCATACAAAATGAAACTTAGGGGAAACAGTTGGACAGGACTGCACTTTTTCTGCTTAGAATGCCTGAAACAGATTAGGGCACAGAGTTCTAAGTACTTTCTCCCTACCTTAAAACTTGGTATAGGACAGGGAGCAATAACAAATAGCAGAGCAACAACATTTTAGCATATCTGTGAACCTGAAACATTGTGTCAAGATCTGTCTTGGTTTAAAAACTGGTTTTAAAAGCTTATTTGATTCTGTGATTCTATAGGGATGTTCTAGGCCAGTGATGGAGAACCTTTTAGAGACCGAGTGCCCAAACTGCGACCCAAAACCCACTTATTTATCGCAAAGTGCCAACATGGCAATTTAACCTGAATACTGAAGTTTTTCTTTAGAAAAAACAACCCATACATTAAATTAAGATGATCCAAACAAAGTAAGGAAAGCAATCCCAAATGCTTTCATTTACTTAAAATTATTTGGCAGAGAATTCCACACTTTAATGATGGTCTGGGCCTGGCTGGGGCGATGGCACGCGTGCCCACAGAGAGGGCTCTGAGTGCCACCTCTGGCACCCGTGCCATAGGTTTGCCACCACTGTTCTAGGCTGATCCTGCATTGAGCAGGGGGTTGGACTAGATGGTCTGCATGGCCCCTTCCGACTCTGATTCTATGATGGAGGGAGGAGGTTCATCACTTAATATTTTAGTTGCATATAAATACTTTCTGAGATGGGTAGGCTGGAGAAAATTGATAAAGGTTGATGGTGAGGAGCAGAACAATGGGTTAATAGCAATTGTGGATGAAATTACTTATTTTGTGCATAAATCAGCGTATGTAGAATGTATCCTTCTATATACATGCATCTTTAGGTATGTTTGTTTGTTGTCATTGCTGCTGTTATAAACTCCCAGTGCTTTGGTAGATGTCAAAGGACTGGACTGAGCTCTCTTGAGAGCCAGTTTTGGTGTAGTGGTTAAGAGTGGTGGACTGTAAGCTGGAGAACCGGGTTTGACTCCCCACTCCTCCACATGAAGCCAGCTGGGGGACCTTGAGTCAGTCATGGTTCTCTCAGAACTCTCTCAGCCCCCACCTACCTCACAGGGTATCTGTTGTGGGGAGAGAAAGGGAAGGCAATTGTAAGCCACTCTGAGACTCCTTTGGGTAGTGAAGAACGGGGTATAAAACCCAACTCTTCTTCTTCATCTTTATCTTCTTCTTTCCTTTGCAAACTTTTATAATTCCATCCCTGCCGGGACATGTGCACTCTATTGGTTGGCTGTAGAAGTGATAGCTCTGTTTGCAAGTCTTGCACACAAACTTCCTTTGCAGTATCTAAGGGCATGTGAATCTAGAAGCCTTGATAACGCAGGTCCTGATTTTATCTCTTTTGTTTCTGTTTCACAGGAACATGACCAGAAGAAAAGTTTCCATAGGTCTCTGGAAAACATATTTCTGTCTTTTACCACAAATATAAGAAGTAAGTGTTTGTAAGGACTTTTGCTGTTCTAAAACCTGACCTGGATGGCCCAGACCTAGGGTTCCCAGATCCTTACCGTGTTCTGCTGGGGGATTTCTCTCCTTCCTGGACTTTTCGTTGTGCGCACCACGATGACATCACCCGGAGGTGATGTCATCACGCAGGGCACGTTGTGGGCAGGGGGTGCGCTAGCATTTGAGGATTTCCTCAAACGCTAGAGCATGTCTTCTCCTGCAACGTGCCCTGCACGATGACATCACCTCTGGGTGACGTCATCACACCAGGCACATTGGCACGGATGGGACTGCTCAGGGGCAGGGCTCCCCCCGCCAGCCAGCTCGGCAGTGGCGGACTGGGGCCCCCGAAAGTGGGGGGAAAGCCGCTCCCATTGGAGGGATGGCAACCCTACCCAGGCTAGCCTGATCTGGTTAGATCTCAGTATTTGGATGGGTGACTATCAAGGAAGTCCAGGGTCATGACACAGAGGCAGGAAATTGCAAACCACCTCTGAATGTCTCTTGCCTTGAAAATCCCACGGGGTCCAGGTAAAAGCTGCCTCCTGTCCCTATTCGAGTTGGCACCTGGGTCATTATGAGCCCCTCTGGCATGGGCTGTCTGGTCCTCTGTCAAGGCTGGGGTTTTAAATGCCTTTTAAAATAAGGTAGTGTGTTGTGTGTGTTGTGTGGTATGATCAGTGTGGTCTCTACCACAAACTCCAGCTGACAGACAGACCCTAAGTGACATCTGAAAGCAGCAATTCCAGCTGAGGCTTGAAGTAAACAAGGGGAAAATAGTAAATTTTAGTCACTTTCTTGGATGGAATAAGGCTATTCAGTAAAGAGACTTAAAACTATATACACATATAATGCACAGCATTTCCTGGGCTCACAGAGTTATAGTGTTTCATTTAACAAAGTAGGAGTGCAGAGAGCAGTTATCAGCCAAGCTTGAGTTTTTAAGGTGAATCTTTGGCCTTTCCTCAGCTTTAGGAATCTTGCAGTGTAAGTGTGAGTGCCTTCTGGAAATTCCAGTCACTTAGTGAACTACCCCTGAAAACTTACTGTGATGCAGCCTAGTTTCCTCTTTTAGTGTTCATTGAAATTAGCCTGCTTTATCCCAAAAGGGAGGGTTTGAGACATACAGAATCTCCTGATATAGGATTTATTCCTTCCCAGTCCTCTGGAGGCACAAACCATGTCTACAAATATCCACTGTTTTAGCCTGCATACTCTCAAACCAGGTTTTGAGACAAAGTCTCCTTAGGCAGGATCTGTGTAACCTAACCCTGAAGATGCAAATCCTATCTGACAAGAACTGACAATGTAATGGATTTGACTCTTTCACTCCCCTTTCCCATTTGGTTCCTTCAGCCACCCTGATTGGCTGTTGCCTGCTCTGTATATACACCAAAACAGGAATACAAGGGAATGGCGCCAGACAGAAAGAGGAAGGATTTTTACCCATCAGTCACAACTTATTAATAGCTGCTTGCTTCCATTGCCCGCTGCTGGCTTTGTTCTCCCTTCCCCAGTCCTGCAATGTTGAAAAGTGCAAATCATTAAAGTGATTTGCTCTTCCAACCCCATACCCCTAAGCCAGTAAAAAGGTAAGGGTTCCCTTGCTCGAAAGCCAGTCGAGTCTGACTCTAGGGTTGCGGTGCTCATCTCCGTTTCAAAGCCGAAGAGCCAGCGCTGTCGGAAGACGTTTCCATGGTCATGTGGCCGGCATGACTAAACGCCAAGGCGCACGGAATGCTGTTACCTTTCCACCGAAGTGGTACCTATTTATCTACTTGCAATTTCTTGCTTTCGAACAGCTAGGTTGGCAGGAGCTGGAACTAGAGATGGGAGCTCACTCCGTCATGTGGCACCCGGGTCTCAAACTGCTGAACTACTGACCTTCCACAGCCTGCAGTTCAGCGTCTTAACCACTTGAGCCACCACAGCTCCTGCCCCTAAGCCAACTTGGCTGCTATAGTTTGGATGGCTTGCCGTCCTTCTATATGTCTTTTCTGCAGCAGCAGAATGGCATTGCCTGTGGAAAGTGGCCTGCTGGCAATGTCACCAGTATTGAGCGGTGTGGCGAATGGAACAGCTGTGCCCTTGGGCTTCTCTTTGTAAGACATGTTTGAGGTATCTTCAGAAGCTTCTTAATAAACTGTCAGAGAGGTGGTAGTTATACCACATTTGTTAGAAGTCACTGGGGCAGTGAGATGGATTGGGAGACGAGGTCCAAGACAGACAGAGAAATGACCCATCACAGCTACTGCACATGAGCCAGTCACAGAAGTATAAACAAACACACTGTCTTGGAAGCATATTCCACTGAAATGGAGCTTGCTTCCCCATAATAGGCTTACAATTTTAAAGGCAAATACGCATGCAGGGAAGAGAGAACATGCTACTGTAATGTTTCTGTTATTCCCTTAATCTGTAACTAATTTCACATAATACATATGAGTTTGATTCCAGTTTTTGGGTCAGGTTTGTTTTCCCCTCCCTGTGTCCTGCTCTGATGGTAGCACAAAACCACATGTAAAGTTTGCAGTAGATATTGCCCATACTGGAAATACATGGAAACTGATCATGGGGTGTAGTGCTGGGCTCCTGACAAGAAACTTACATGTTGCCTCATCAGCTGCTTTCAGCCCAGTTTGGACCTCTTTATGGGTATGGAGTGTACCTGATAGCTAAACAGACTAATTGTAGTTCCTGTCGAGGATGATCAGACAGAGCCTTTTTATGTGTGTCATGTAGTCCGTTTACTGCAAGCAATTAGCCAATAAATAAAAATTATTGATATTTACAAAGAGTGGTGGAATGGCTTTGGAATGATTTAAAAGGATTCAGGCTGTCATTTGGCATCAGCAAGGTGCACACCCTCAGACATTCTCTGTTAAATTAGAGTGCGTTGTGCACTATGAGCTAATGATCTTCTTTACCAATATGGGGTAGTTCTAGAGAAAATGCCAATGTTTTATATTTCTGTTGTGCGACACTACTATTAGTTTTTCATAAACAGATACTTCCGTGGAGTTATTTATTCCTGTCCAGTCTTCTAAACATGCCTCTCATATTTTGCACAGTATCATAAATCGGTTTGGATTAATGAATGAGAAATTATGTGTGTTTTAAGTAGCAGTTTTGTTTCATGTATCATTACTGGTGCTTACCTGGATGTGAGAAGGGAAGATATGTGTGACCCTCAGAGACTTGCAGTGGAGATGTGTCAAGAGACACGCTTGACTGTGGCTCTCTTGCCTGGGTCCATGGCATGCGTATAGTCATGCAACCCCCTTTTGCAATTTCTTGTGTTGAACAAAACTTGTTGGATACCCAGCTCCTCTATGTATCTCTCCAGGAAGAACCATCTGAGGGCCAGATTAGATGTGATGGCATCTGTGAGTCTGACCCATGGATGTCACCACCATTTTAAAATGATTTTTAAAATTACATGAGGGCAGTCCAGCTGTGATGACACCCACAGGTCTGATTCATGAGATTTAGAGAGATTTAAAAATGCTGCGAGGGCCAGATCAGAATCAGGCCCACAGTGCAGCAGGCTGAAGCACTCTTGATCTCCTTCCTGCAGCTTTACAAGCACTGAGACAGCTGTGAGGTCTGTGTATGCAGCCATTTCAGCACTTGAAAAGGCCCATGGCAGGAGAGGGGGACATGAGTACCCCAGACTGCCACACTGTAGGCCTGATGCTGATTTTTAAATCTCACAGATTAGTCTCACAGGTGCCACTATGTCTAGTTTGGCCCTGAAAGTTGTCAGTTGAACAGATTCCCCCCATGAAGATAATGAAATGTGTCAAGAACTGGACATTTTGATAAATAACTGTACTTATTGACTTTGATTATTGTATTTTTCCCCCCTGGGTTTTGGCATGCCTTCCACCCTTTTGTTCATTCCAGCAAACACTGCTATGTGGCAAACATGCATGTCCTATAATGTGCACCTCAGCACTTAGTTAATTCTTTTCCATTAAGATTAATTTAAACACATAGATAAATGTAAATATGTTACTAGACACATTGTTATCATTATATTTCACATACATTGTATGCATTACTTCCCTGAAGTTACAGTTGGAGTTCAGATTAGCAGACTGTAGTAAACATATCAGGGTGGATCCAACCATCCCACTGAGCAGGGTTTGTTGTGTTCCTCCAACTTCAGTGATTCTTCCTTCTTCCTCCAAGGGAGATGATACTTGAATTGGAGGAAGGTCTTCTTGGAGGATGGTTGAGTCTACCCCACCAGATGGAACAATTTTTTTCTTTCTCAGAATTACCAAGCCCCAGCATAAATTTTAAAATATTGTTGATATATGTTTGTTTGTTTCATCTTTCTTTTATTTTCTAGATATCTCCAAGTCCCAGAATGACATGGTAGTTGACAAATGTCTTCTAACGGCAGATTATGGACAGGAGATGGAACTAAGGAAAGAAAAAAGGAGTCAGTCTGACACTGCCATTGATATTGGAACCAGGGTATTTGCACATATTTTAAAGGACAGTTTAGAGAGTGAATGTATCCAGTGAACTTATCATTGTCTTCTGAAAGCAATGCCAAATTCTGCAACCAGAAAACACAATAGAACCTGAGACTGGGAAGATTTTTGAAACTGCTGATATTCACACAAGTGTGATATTTCTGTTCTTAGTTCTGTTCTTAGTTTTGTATAATTGGAAATTCTTTTATTTAGATTTTTCCCCCTGCTAAGACTAGAGAAGGGGTGTTGGGAGTTAGTCACAGTGTGCATAACAAGTTTCTGCATGTGTGGACCAGCCTGTTACCTTTAAGGGAAGAAGTACATGCAGGTCTATGTCTTCCAGCACTGGGAGCAGAGTGATCTTTTTGAGTGGGAGAGTTTCATATATGAATGGAATTCTTGCAGTGACTGAAAATTGTTGGATTGGGTTGGGTCCACTGGGCTAGTGAAACAAGCAAGCAAATGAATGGAAATTTGTTTACAGATAAAACAGGCCCCAAGTCTTCAGCGACTTATAAGTGGAGTACAAATGGAAAGTGGAACTGATCCTGAAAGGGATTCCATTCAAAATGTTACTTCATCTAGTCCTCTAAGTACCATATTATCTGCTGGAATAAAACGAGTAAGTACTGGTCCTGTTTTCATCCTGTGTTTCCTTCTCAGTGCGGGGAAATAGGTTCCTAAATAGATTCCTGAAATACATTATTAAAGCTTAAATATTCACTGGTGCTACATTTAATCAAATAGTGGAAAATTCCCTCCACCAAGAATATGCTGAGTGTCACAAACCATCATAAACCTGCTGAGACCTTATGTTTATGATCGACCTTTCTCCAGTTCCTGTCAACAGTGCATGGGTATAGAAACAGTTCCATTCACCAAAGGAAGAAAAAGTGCTACCAGGAAAGCCAGAAACATGAGCAATCTTCTTTTGAAGTGAAGGTGGCTGTAGTATTCAAAGCCTTTTTGTTACATAGGAGTGAAGCCTAAACAGAGATACATGAATAATAGCTTTGACATTATTTCTATTCCTTGTCTTTTTACAGGGCAGTTTGTATAGCATAAACAGTACTTGCAGTGAGGCTGGCGACTTTGATAAAGTTGATGTCAGTGGTGAAATAGAATTTGCCATCAGGTATATTTTCAACACTAGCATGTTAGAAATACGCATCAAGGCCTGCAAGAATTTGGCTTATGGAGAGGAGAGAAAGAAAAAATGCAATCCGTAAGTTTCTTTTCTTTTACATGTGCAGGGGGGAAGGCAGCCATTGCATTCGTCTACAGGGACTAATGTGGGCCCAAACCAATTTAAATCATCTATTTAACTTCCAGCTATACAGGGGTATATTTGGAGAAATTTATTTTGCTGCAAACATTTACTGGCCAGAAGGGGGCAAAAGAATGAGTTGTTTAGGAAGAAACCAAGTTACAGATTGTACTTCCCTAGACATAGATTTGTAAAGCAGTCTGGACAAGTAAGTGTGATTTAGAGCAGTGTCATTTGTCATTTTTTAAAGAATTTGAGTCAATTTCTTTAAATTGAAAGAAACACTAGCCATAGGAGAAAATTGAACCTGACTAATAGGTCCTTGGAGCTGCGGTGGCTCAAGTGGTTAAGACACTGAACTGCAGGCTGTGGAAGGTCAGTAGTTCAGCCGTTCGAGAACCGAGTTGCCGCCTGACGGAGTGAGCTCCTGTCTCTAGTTCCAGCTCCTGTCAACCTAGAAGTTCGAAAGCAAGAAATTGCAAGTAGATAAATAGGTGCCACTTCGGTGGGAAGGTAACAGCGTTCCGTGCACCTTGGTGTTTAGTCATGCTGGCCACATGACCACAGAAACGTCTTCGGACACCGCTGGCTCTTCGGCTTTGAAACGGAGATGAGCACCGAAACCCTAGAGTCGGACTCGACTGGCTTTCGAGCAAGGGAACCTTTACCTTTACCTAATAGGTCCTTTCTGCAGTCTCCTTTTAATCCATGTTCACCGCAGTATCGAACAGCCACGCCTTTGCTCCATCTTTTTTCTCCATTTCTACCTATATCATGTTAAACTGGATTGAAACCTGTTTATAAATTCTATTGGTTTGAATTTTTCTTTTTCCTGTAAGCTACAGTTCTTTACTTCTGGCAGAGAGCGAATTTAAACCCCTTTAGCTATTTGAGTAGAAAATTGGGAGACCCAGATTTTCCTAAAGGAGATTAAGGGGTATTTAAAGTATGGTAACTCATCCCTTTTTCTTAACCTCCCTAAAGGTCATGATAAGAAAGCTCTTACAGTGGTGTAAATAACTCATTGATTCATACAAATAATCAACACTTAAATGTCAATATATCTCCCTGTAATTATTTTTAGCAATTTAGCAAGAGGTTCCCAAAATCTCAGGGCATTTTTGAGGAACAAGTGGGGATAGGGAGGGTTAGCCTTGCTAATGGTTAAGAACATAAGAACGTAAGAGACGCCAGTGTTGGATCAGGCCAAAGGCCCATCCAGTCCAATGGTTTCCCCTGGGACAAGAAAGTTTAGCATTTAAAAAATGGAGACAAGCAGGTATAACACGCATAATAGACTTAGTACATAAGGGACAACTATACAAAAAAGCCATACGAAACTAAAATTGGTGGGGAAATGCCATGGTATAGATATTTACAAGTGAGTCATATGGTTAATACATTGCAACTCTCAAAAGCCTTCACATTCTCAAGAAACCAAACAGTGATATTAAGGATCTAATTTAAAACATATACAAATCCTGATCTCTGTGTGCAACACAACTAAAGTAAATTATCAAACAATATGGGATATGGATGGTCAAAACAGAATCAAAGAGACAAATTGGCCTGAAATTTGGAAAGCTCCTAGCATGATGTCTAAGATCTTTACTATAAGTTTTAATTCTTTTAAAGTAATAAACAGATGGTACCTTCGCCTGATCAGAATCCACTGCATGAACCCCAAACTAAGCCTAAAACGCAGGAAAAACTGTGGGCTAGTTGGAATTGCCTGCATTGCTGGTGGCAATGCCCAGTTATTAAAATAATTTCGCTCTACATTTTAAAACATATACATATAGTAACAGGGATCAAACTACCTGAAATGCCAGAGATAGTTCTTCTGTCCCACTGATTGAACTCTGGAGAAAATACAAATAAACAAAATTAATCTCATATCTCCTAGCAATTGCAAGAATTGTAATTGCAAAAAAATGGAGAGAACAGTCAGGCCTTATACTTCACATGTGGCAAAATAAATTATGAAATCACTTTATTCTAAGTAAAATTATGTGTCAATCAATCATACCCAATCTGCTTAACTACCAAAAACATTTCAAGCTCAATGGTTTCCTGTAGTAGAATACTTAGCAGAAAAGGAGATAATCCCTAATCCATATTATCGAGACTTGTTATTTTTCTGAAAAGTTTAAGTGTGATAATATTTAAATCACTTTATTGTAACAAATAAGAACTGTTAAAACTGTAAGAAAAAATGGAATTTTATATATAGTATATTATTAGACAATAATAAAAGTTGTTTATAAAAAAAGAACAAAACCCACTGAATGTTGCAGAAATTAATGAGTAGCAAACATTGGCTTTATTTCCTGCCTGTCTTCTTTTTAACTGCTCTTAACTGCTGTCTCCATCTCTAATTGCAAGATATGTCAAGACTTATTTGCTACCTGATAAATCTCCTCAGAGTAAACGGAAGACAGCTGTCAAAAAGAACACAGTGGATCCTGCTTTCCATGAAACATTAAAGGTACATTACAGCAATAGTCTAGATATTTCCCTCTCTAGTTAGTCTGTTTCTCACACAGCAAAAATTTCCCTGACATTTCAGGAAACTTCCAGTGAAAAAAGATCAGTTATAGCCATATTTAAGCCAGTTCATGTACAGGACAGTCAAATCAAAGTACCCCTTAAGAAAGAGCAGAGAAAGTGCATGTTGCTTTAATGATGATATGGCCACAAGTTTCTAGGATGTACTATCTAAACAATGCAAAGCCTGTCCAGAACAATGTTAATACACATGGGTTGTGCATCTTACAAAGGATAGCTTCCGCTTGCATTTTCATTTATGAGTGAATTTATTTTTTACAAAAATGGAGCGTCTCATGAAATGTTAATCATATAGCTGTTTGAATACTTAAGCCAATAGGAGTTAATGTCCACTGTAAAAATTTCATCTTCTTAATGTCAGTGTCTCATTCTTCACTGTTACAATGGCTTGTACATATACAACGTTTCAGTGGTCACATTAAAAGGCACTGGGGGATATCAGTTTTGCTGGCTATTGTGACTCATCAGTCCAGAGTTTAGGGACATTTCATCCTTCATAGACAGGAATATTGCATTTGAAGGGCTTGCAAAATTCTCAGAGGGGTTATTTGCCTATCTTCCTGTCAAATAGCTTGTTGGGGACAAGGTTAGAATGGCTCAGGGCCCCTTTCTCTTTCATGACTCAATAGAAGATACAGTTCAACCAACTGTCACTGAAATTACTTGTCCCTACCTGAAACGCTCATCTGCTGAAATTTCCTCTCCTACACAACCATATCAAGAACCTCTCTGCCTTTTGCATCTGGTCAGTCCATCTGAACTACCAAAACAGATGACCAGAGACTTCAGCATTAACCCAATGTCAGTTGTTAACAGCAGTGTGCTGGTTTTTTTTGGCAAATGCGCTATCTCGATGCTATGGGTGTCATATCTATCAAAATGCCACTAGATCACTTCAGAAATCACTCCTTGCAGCAACAGTAGTGGGAAGATATCACTTGTAACAGGAAGTTATTTTAGTTGCAGGGATTTTGAAATATTATTGCTGCTCAGGTACTATGATAGCTCTCACCTGCCTGTTTATCCTAGCTAGGACCGAAATACAGATCTTAACCCACTTTAATTTGTGGCTTCTGTGTGACTGGTGCTTGGATTCAGAGTGCTGATCATCCCATTATTCATCTGGGTATGCTGTTTAAAAAGTTGTTGGGTCTTATGTATAACTCGGCACCTTCCTAGGAAGGATCATCCAGAATAGTTTGTCAGATACTATTGTTCTCCTTTTGTTTCTTCTCCTTTTGTTCCCGGTGAGATAAGCATAGTGCCTATTCAGAGTACCTTTTAAAGAAAATTAGACCATATGTGTAGGTGAAACTGCAAGTCTTCAAATTGTACAGAGTTTAAAAAAAATTGGTTGAAGTTTAGATCACAAAAGTGGCATGGGGAAAAAGGCTGTCCCCTTCCTCTGTGTCATGGTTCTGAATTGAACCGGGGACCCACATGATTGCAAACAGTGGGAGATCTGTAAGTGGATCTGCCACTATCATGTCTAGTTTGGCCCTGAGTTGGCTGAAAGACGGACACACCTTTCAGTGCAAGACCTTTTTCTCTGAGAACCTGATACATGGTGGCAGCTCTGCAGGAGTGCCTTTTTGCCTCTGCTTGGCATATATGCAAACAAATATATTTGTAAATAAGGAAAATATTACAAAGACTCCAGTGCAGTCTCATCTGAAAGAAACTAAACTCCACATATGGAACTTTTCATTGCTTAGGAAAATGGAGAGCACTACTATTGAGACTGGATGACTTGACTGCACTGAACATATGCAATAAGAATTATAAACCCCTCTTGCAAACATTAAAACAACTTCAAAAAGAGTTAAAAGAGTTAAAATACATATAAAACAGTTAATATACAAACAAAACATTGGTTGGGAAGGAGGGATCATTGAGGGAATGCCAAACAAAACAAAAAAGTCTTCACTAAGTGGTGGAAGATAACAACAGAAGGGAACAGATGAATCTCCCTGGGGAAAGAGGTCCAGAATTTTGCTGCCATGACCGAGAAGTCCCTCTCCTGGGTTGCCACTTGCCTAATCTCAGAAGGAAGGGGCACACAAAGCAGGTGACTGTAATGGTTGGGCAGGTGCATGAGGGATTAAGCAGTCCTTCAGGTATGTTGGTCCCAAACCATATAGGGCTTTGAAGGTCAAGAAGACTAGCATCTTGAATTGTGCCTGGAAACAAAATGGAAGCCAGTATAGACAGGCCAAGACTGGGGTGATATGGTCTCTACAGCCCACTCTTGTTAACATCCTGGCTGCAGTGTTCTGTAGCAGTTGAAGCTTCCAAACACTTTTTAAGGGCGGCATTGCAGTAATCCACTCTAGATGTAACAAGGGCATGCGCCACAGTGGCCAGATTTTTTTCTGACCAAGAAAGTCTGCAGCTGGCTAACCTAACCAGTTGAAGCTGGTAAAAAGCACTCTTGGCAACAGATGCCACTTGCTTATCTAGCAGTAGGCTTGGGTCCAAGAGCACCCTCCTACTATAGACCTGTTCCTTCAAGGGAAATGCAGCCCCATTCAGAAGAGGTGACACCTTAAATTAAGGATTAAGTTTCAGTTTATTACCCCACATCCACTCCAAAACTGTCTCCAGGCAATATAATATCCTCAACTCTTTCCTTTAGTACAGTTTTCAAACGATGTTCCAAGCAACTCTGAAGCTTATATGGAGTTCCCCAATTACAAAATGGCAGAAAGTTAGGGTTATAAGGTTGTTCCTTTCCAACTCTGTGGAATCCTCTGGGCTCCCCTTGTGTGCATCTGACTTGCAAGTCTCGTCTGAGCTCCTTTTTACTTTCTTGTTTCAGGACACCTAGCTAAACTGAGAGAGTCGCCACTCTCCCACTCTTAAACCTAGCATGTCCCCTACCAAACCCCTCTCTATGGGAGGGAGTTTGAGGCGTTGTAAAGCCTTATAGAAAGAAAAAGGATCAAAGGCTGTGAGAGCGAGCTCTACACACACCCTCTGTCATTGAGACCGGATCCGGAACCCCCCTTTAGTACAGTTTTCAAACGATGTTCCAAGCAACTCTGGATTTCTTCTAAAGCTTATATGGAGTTCCCTAATTACAAAATGGCAGAAAGTTTCTATATAGGATAACTTGCCCAACACTAACAATCTCCCAAAACTACAGCCATGACAAGTTGGTGGATTTGCTTTAAAGTGCCCTGAGTTCACAGAAAGCAATGGTGAGGCCCAACAAGCTGCTGAAGTGGTTTCCTTTTAAGATTGATCCTGTTTGTAGTGTACTTTATTGTCGTCTCAGGACAGGGGGGAAGATTTATTTCTCATTCTCTGTTTGGGAGGAGGTGCAGTTAATAGAAATTAGTTAATTCATTATATTACATGGAAGATTTCTTATCATTCTTATTCCGGTTCCATTTATCATTACAGTACAAAATTGAATACTCCCAGCTGGAAATGCGACAACTTCAAGTGTCTGTCTGGCACTCTGGAACTTTCAGACGCCGAGTATTCCTTGGAGAAGTGGTCATACCATTTGAATCTTGGAATTTCGAAGAAAAGTCAAATGAGTTTTTTAGTTGGTATCAACTCAAAGCAAAGGTGTCTTAGGCTTTATTTTAAATCTACTAACTTTAAAATTTTCAGGATATATATATATATTAAAATGTCATGTGCCTTAATGCAGACAATATTTGTTTGTTTGTTTATTTCAAACATTTCTATTCTGCCTTTCCACTTAACCTTCTAACCAGTATAACCATAGGATCGAAGAATATCAAATGTAACACAAATGCTTTTAAAAGGGCCTTGAGGAAATCCAAGAAATTACAGGCCAGCTAGCCTAACATCTGTTCCAGGTGAATTAGTTAGAAGTTGTTATTAAAGATAAAATTATTGAGTACATAAAGGAATACAGCTTGCTGAGAGAAAACCAGCATGGCTTCTGTAAAAGAAAGTTTTGCCTTGCCATTGCAGTTTTTTTGGGAGGGTTAACAAGCATATGATAAGGGTGATCTGATAGACATTATATACTTGCATTTTCAAAATCTTGACAGGTTCCCTTCCCCATTATACTAGAAATTGGGGGCACCCAGTGAAGTTGATGAGCAATAAATTCAAAACAAACAAGTGCTGCTTCACTTAAGAAGTAACAAGTAAATTGTGGAATTCAGTGCCATAGATATCTTTGCAGGGGGATTAGGCAGATTCATGGAGCATGTGCCATGGTGACTAAAAGGAACCTCCACTTTCAGAGGCAGTAAAACTGTGAGTTAACAGTGCTAGGAGGCAACATCAGGAGAAGGCCTTGGCCTCTACGCCCTGTTTGTTGGCCCTCTGGGGCAACTGATTGGCTACTGTGTGCGACACGATGCTTGGATTAGATGGACCACAGGTCTGATCCAGCAAGGCGCTACTTATGTATGTTCTTATTCCTTCCAAGAGGTGAAGCATTCAAACCAGCTTTATATCTATGTGTATAACACATTCCTTTCATTTCTAACATTTTGACACAAATTTCCTTTGTGCAGTATAAAAAGTTGGATGGGGAGGGCAGGGGGTGTGGTATAGCTAAATCTCATCAGATCTAGGAAACTAAGCTGGGTTGGTACTTGGAAGGAAGACTTCCAAGGAAGACTCTGAAGAGGAAAGCAATGGTGAACCACCTCTGCCTCTCAGTTGCCTGGAAAGCCCCTTGCTGGGGTCGCCATAAATTGGCCGTGACTTGATGGCACTTTACACGCACAAAGATGAATACTGTAAGCGTCTATCCTATTATGGAATTCATCATTCCCATAAAATGTGATGATTGCCATCAGCCTGGATGGCTTATGAAATAATTAGATTCAGTCATAGAGTATAGTCTGTCAACAGCTTTCGGCTGTGATCGTCAAATGGAACCCTCATAGTCAGAGGCAATGTGCCTCTGAATACCAGATGCTGGAAACAAGTCACAAAGGATGGCCATCGTTTTCATGCCTAATTTGTGATCTTCTGAGGGCCTCTAGCTGACTGTTGCTAGAAGCAGAGTGTGATACTAGGCAAACTTAGGCCTGATTCAGTAAAACAGTTCTTATATTCTTTGAGAAGAGAGTTAGCACGGAAAGACCCATCTGTCTATGCTAGTAGATAAGCTAGAGTTCAGCACTATCCCCTTCCTGCCTTCTTGCTCTAGTAATAAGCAAAGGGGAAGCAGGACCTTATACTTTGGCTTTTGCTTATCCACTCCTACTCTGTGCATAAATGTAGTTGAAACATATGAATGATCATTATAAATAGGAATCATGATAAAACTTGGATTCACTTCTCACATAATTTTTTTAACCCACAAACTGATGGTGCTGCAATTTGAAAAATTTGAAGTGCTGGTCCTGACCTGAATAGCCCAGGCAAGCCTGCGATTTACTACCCTGTTTAGGCGAGGGAGGGGCAGGGCGGCAGGCCAGCGGGGCACCCCCTCTTAAGGGGCCGCTCCAGGCCACTGCCTAAAAATTGTCTATGACGGGCCAGCCCTGCGGATCTCGTCAGATCTCAGAAGCTAAGCAGGGCCGACCAAGGCAAGTACTTGGATGGGAGACCTCCAAGGAATACCAAGGCCAGGAAACAGAGGCAGGCAATAGCAAGCCACCTCTCAGAAATGTCCAAGCCCCAATAGGGGTCACCAGAAGTCAACCATGACTTCCAGGCGCGCGCGTGTACGCACACACACACGTACTCAGCAAAAAAGAGAGAGAGAGAGAAAGAAAAATCCAAAGTGCTTTGGGGGGTTAAAATGGACCATTCTGAATACTTAAGCCAGGACTTTGGGTTGCCAACACAGCTCCACTGAGACTTGGTCATATTCTCAGCCCAGAATGCTTTAAAGTAGTAGATATACATTTTTATTAAATACATAAATTAGGAGCTGGTTTGACAAGGTACACTAGTGTTGTAAGCAAGTTAAAGAGACTGGAATTCCTTGGACTTCACTGGTACCACACACATGGCTGTAAATATATATGAAAAAGACAGATAGTGATAGTATAGTGTTGGGAATAGGGGTGTGGATGTGGATATACTGAAGTTGAAAATGAACCTGAAATTTGCTGTTTCGGATCAGCTCAGTGATATCTAGAAAGATCCCCCAAACACTCAAAATTCTGAGAGTAACAAAAATGTATCTGTTGGAGTGTTTCAGGACTCCAGGAGCCAAGGGTAAGAGAGAGGAAGCTAATCCCACCAAGCAGCTGTTTGGCAGCATCTCCCTCCCTTTAAAATTTAAAGGACCATTATGTTCTGTAGGCAGACTTGGCCTCTGTACTAACCATAGGAATGGGTGGTCGGCCTAGCCTCCCAAGTCTACCCAAATCAGTTGGGATCGCCAGTCCAATTATTTACTGAGAGGGTAGACTTGGCCTCCCCATTTCAGAGGCCAATTCATCCCATAGAAAACAAAGGTCCTTAAAATTTAAGGGGATGGATATTAGGGATGTGCATCTCAAAAAAATAATTGGTATTTTTCAGATTTGGGTATCAGGGAGCTGAAAATTTTTGGTATTCACAGTTATCCAGGTTCTAAATACTGGTTTGGTATTGGGATCCACTTTTTCATGATTCCAGTATTATTTGACTCAATTATTCCTTATCAGAACTTTTTCCATAGAGTTGGAGGGGCTGTTTTTTGAGCTAATTGCACTAACGTTGCAGCAAAGCTACTGGTGCCTGTCAAGTGAATTGGACTATTGGTCCCTGAACAAGGTGCCCCCCCCAGCCATCTTCCACTGTTTGCTATGTAAAGGTAAAGGTTTCCCTTGCTCGAAAGCCAGTCGAATCCGACTCTAGGGGGCAGTGCTCATCTCCGTTTCCAAGCCAAAGAGCCAGCTCTGTCCAAAGACGTTTCCGTGGTCATGTGGCCGGCATGACTAAACACTGAGGCACACAGAACGCTGTTGCCTTCCCACCGAGGCGGTACCTGTTTATCTACTTGCAATTTCTTGCTTTCAAACTGCTAGGTTGGCAGGAGCTGGGACCAGAGATGGGAGCTCACTCCATCATGCGGCACTCGGGTCTCAATCCGCTGAACTACAGACCTTCCAGTCTGCAGCTCAGCATCTTTACCTCTAAGCTATGAGGGGAGTGTAATTCTGTGCTTTCTCTAGAGCAAGGAATAGCCAAAGACACAAGAGCAAGCAAAACAACCCCTGGCCAAAAGCCTCTCTGTGACAACCCTTCCCCACTCACACAGAGTTCCTACCACCCTCCACAACCTCTCTCATACAGGGTCAGGGTTACAAGAAGGTCAGGCTGTCACACAGCTACCCTTCTTGTCTCTTCTACAATATAGAGAGAGCCATGACCATTTCGTATTTCTGTCCTCTCACTCATGGAGACAGCAGCAGACAGGGTAGCCCAGCCCCCTTTAATACTCTCTCCTCTCACAAACACTTCACAGAGCTAGGTGGGTAGCCATGTTTGTCTGAAGCAGCAGAACAAAGTTTGAGTCCAGTGGCACCTTTACGACCAAATTAGTTTTATTCAAGGTATAATCTTTTGTGTGCAAAGCACACTTCTTCAGATACAATGAAATGGAAGTTACCAGTCCGTACATATAGGTAGAGGATAAGCAGTAAATTAGCATCCAGCATAATGAAGATGTTTAACAGATTCAAGGACCAAACAGGAATAACAAGTGGGGGGAGGCATGGCTATTTGCGCCGCCGCAATTTAACGCACCATAACACGATCCTATGCGTTGGTGGCATGCCACGGTACCTTCCCTCTGCGTCAACGAGGGGCTGGAGGGAAAAGTGACGCACCGGCGTAATCACACCAACGCATTCCGGAGGCAGCCCGTGGCAAACCAGTTGCTATTACCTTCGACCAGGTATTTTTTTAACTCTGCATTTTTGACGGTATACCACGGGTTGGCCACGGGTGCACTCCACTTGCCAGATGTTGCAAAGTGATCGCGCCCGGAAACTCTGCCATTCGATTGTGGCTCTCCTGCGGCAAATTCGCCATGTGAACGGGGCCTTAGTTTATTTGGCTACCATTTGTTTGGGTTTAACTCTGGGGGAATCTCTACACAGTCAATCACCCCACTTCAAAGAAAAAAGATGCTGCAAGGTCACCTCCATGCTTGAGAAGAGATAGATGGAGTGTAATGGCAGGGTCTAAGTGAATTGCTCTCAGCATTTCACAATTAAGGAGGTTACATCTGCCCACCAATCTCCAAGTCTGACATATTTATTTCCTTCACTGTGTTTCCCCCCAGAATTAAACCCAAACAAATGGTAACCAAATAAACGAAGGTTGTTATTCCTGTTTGGTGCTTGAATCGGTTAAACATCTTCATTATGTTATATGCTAGTTTACTGCTCACTCTCTACCTATATATATGGACTAGTAATTTCCATTTCATTGTATCTGAAGACACACGAAAGCTGCACACAAAAGCTTATACCTTGAATAAAACTTTGTTGGCCTTAAAGGTGCCACTGGACCTATTGGTATTGGGGACTCAAACACTCTTCCATTCACATACTGCCACTGTTCATATCCTAAAATATATAGGGAGCAAGATTTTAGCTTGTGTATGTGTATGTGTGTTACTTTCTTTGAGACAAGCAGCTCACAGGGTTAAATAAACGGAGTTAACTTTTATTTATCTTTTGAACATAACTTGAAGAAAGTAAGGTAGAGGTTACAACATTTCTTTTCCATTGAACTTTTGAACCGTTTCCCTATTCCAGCATTTGGGATCTTTTATTACAAATTGACTTTTCTTTCGAGTTAGATTTAAGCTGCTCTTTGCCACAGCTTCACTCAGCCAGACATACTCTCTACTCCCTGACTCCTAAGTTGCCAACTCCCAACTGCTGTTTCCCTACCATCTCTCCCGACCATTCCATCAGCTCTCATTAGTCACTCTTAGGGAGAGGCAGAACCTAAGCTGTCCGTCACACTCTCAAAGCAGACAGAACCAACAAGCTCAAAGAACCAGTGCAGAATCAGGGAACTCTGATAGAAGCACGGGACAATATAGCAAGCCTAACAGAACAAATGTACAACCCAAGACTCCAATCCCAATGTCAAACCAGAGAATCATCCAAGCCAAACCAAGTAGGAATGGTGCTGCAAGGCCAAAATATGTAAAATTAGAGAATCTATGCCAATGTACAATCCAAGAATCAGCTGCAAACCATAAATCTCACACAAACCAACTCACACAAATAATACAATGTTGCAAGACCATTCCCCCCAAAAAGGACAGAATCAAAGCCAAACCAATGTGGCAAGCAGATACCAAGCCCCGGGAAGACAGAGACACACAGAAAACATAAAGAAAAATTGGTCCCGAGAGCCTTAAAACTCTGGCTGTAGCCTGACTATTTCTGGGATTTTTCAGGACCCATTTCCTGGTATCTGGGAAAATCTTGGATACCAACCAGTGACCCAAATATATCTGAAAAATACCGATAAAGTACTCTAAAGGGTAGTGTAGCAGATTGTCATGTCAGTGGAAGTGGTAGGGCATCTTTTGCGCCTTGAAAGTGAGTTTAGCTAAATACCATTACTGGGATTCCCAGTCTGATTTAGATTGAGATCTACTAGCAGTTCTAGTTCGATAGGTAGATCAGAGAAAGGGGAGGCCAGGCCAAATATGCAGACAATTATCTCATATAATTGCTGTAATTACCACAGGTAAGCTTCCATTTTTTAATCTCTTCATAACAGCAACCTCAGCTGATCATGTGAGTAAATCCTGAGAGGAGGGGAGTGCTCACAAGCTGTCAAATCTTTTCATGCGTGTTCCTCTCTCAACTTTGGGTTCAGGCTGAAAAGTCTAAAGATAACATTATTCACTACAGTGGACAACTTCTGGTACGTGCAAAGCTGGTTTCACCTTCCCTGCATAACAACTCTGAATATGAAGATCAGATGAAAGAAAATACAAAACATTGTATGCATTTATTTTACTGTTAATATCCTGAGCCAATCTGTTTAAAGCCTTTAAAAAGCAAAAATCACTAATTGTTCAAGGCATCATACAGTCTCGCCGCTTGCACTGAGACAAAATACAACAGTTTGGTTGCAAGACAGTCGCACGGTCCTCTCTTTGCATCATCAGCACCCCCCTTACAAAGAGCGGATGAGGTGCTGAACCTCTTCCTGGACTGTACCACTTCTATTTATTTATTTGTTTTCGGATTTATATCCAGCCCTCCCCGAAGGCTCAGGGCAGCTAACAACGAGGCACAAGTGCCAGAATTAAAACAGATAAAAACAGCCTAAAACAATAAAACAATATAATACAACAACAAAGTGTCAGTGCTCCATTTATCGCAAGATGGGGTAGATCTTAGTCCAATGGCAATGTTCCAGTAACCTGTCATCCCTTCTCCTTCCAGGGTCACCTCGCACCCCGATGAAACCACATATTGGTGGTAGTGGTGCGATGCTGCATACATAGCGGTGGTGGAATAGTAGTGGTGGCGGCTCCTACTCAAAAGCCTGGTGGAAGAGCTCCATCTTACAGGCCCTGCGGAACTGAGAGAGGTCCCGCAGGGCCCGGATCTCCTCCGGGAGCTCCTTCCACCAGGTAGGAGCCGCCACCGAAAATGCCCTGGCTCTGTTAACAGCAAATTTAATATCCCTGTGGCCTGGAATTTCCAGGAGATGTTGACTCCCCGACCGCAGTGCCCTTGGGGGAACGTATGGGGAAAGGCGGTCCCTTAGGTTCCATGTAACAAGTAAGGGTTCCATGACTGAATGTTTGTCCATATAAAATATTTCCCACATATTGGAAACTGGAGGTTCTCTAGACATGGTAATTTCCTTTGCATTGAGATTTTTTTTTGTACAGAGCAAAACTCTTATACCTATAGTCTGAAGTGGTACAGTCCTGACACAATTTTAACATTTCATCTGTTTTTGTGAGAGCTAGGCCTTGATCTCTTTCTCCAGCTGTATTTTTTTTAAAAAATCTTCCCTTGCTTTCCCATTGAAGCCTCCTAAACGATTTGGCTTTGGGCTCAAGGTTACGTTTGCAGGGTGTACTATAACCTCCCCCCCCCCACCTGCTGCCCCTGTTTAACAGGAATGTAAGCAATGTTAATTTTTCAATAGTATATGTAAAAACCTAGAAGAGTAGCACTGGAAAACATGGGAATTCCATGGTAACTTCAGTTTGCACCCACCTAGTTATTTGAGTGTTGGATATGGTACAGTTCTCTGGGTTTCCTGTACCCTGGTGTTAGGCATATCTGAACTTTCCAGATCCTCACAGCTTTTTAAAAAAAATTGAATGAAATTGACATAGACCTCTTACATAACATTCATTACTCTGATTTGGATTCTAGTATATGTTCATAGCACTACTAGTGATGAAAGTTCCCAGAATAGGGCTAACCTGATCATTAGGCCATACAAGGTGGCCATTCACCTCATTTCCTCTGAAGTGAAAGAAACACTGCAGGGTGGCTGTGGGTGCAGTGTCCATCTGGATGCTAACTCACAGCTGCCATGCTAATGAGGGCAGAGTGCTCTGCCTTCAAGATGGCTGTGCTGAGTGCTGCATCCCCCCATCCCTGCCTCTTGAAAGACCTTTTCTCCCTTGCTCCTTTACTGAGCTGGTTTGTAGAACTACAGCATAGGTGGGAGAAAAAAGAACAAGGGCATTAAGGGGGGGTGTTGCAGGCTGTGGGGACCCCAATGAAATGGGTAAGTGTGATGGGAGTGGCAGCAGATCCAATGGTGTGAGAACAGGGCATGTAGACACTGTTCCTGTGCCACTTGCTACTACTGCTGTAGTGGTGGTGGGGTGTTTTCACATCTCTGGGTGGACTGCAACCTATGTATGTGCTTTTGGCTTTTCTGCTTGTGCCACGGATCAATTCACCTCTAGAAGCTGTCACAGCACTTTCTGTTATTTTTACATGAATTTATTTATTTATTCCCATTTTTATCCCGCCCTCCCCGCATGCAGGATCAGGGCGGCTTACAAGGCACAAAGTGCTATAAAACAGATGAATTAAAACACAGAAGCTAAAAACATTGACAACTCACAGAATACATGAAGGACTAAAATTGCGCACTCTCCATTGCATATCAGGAGGAGGTCAGAGGTCAAAAGTCAGAAGGGGGACGCCATGAGCCGTGATGTTCCAATTACTCATCAGCCCACCCCAGCGGTCCTGCTCCGCAGTTTTGCGGTGGTGGTAGTGGTGGCGGCGGCCCCTATTCAAAAGCCTGGCGGAAGAGCTCTGTCTTGTAGGCTCTGCGGAACTGTAAAAGGTCCCGCAGAGCCCTGATCTCCTCCGGGAGCTCATTCCACCAGACAGGGGCCGCCACCGAAAAGGACCAGGCCCTCGTGGTAGCTAGCCTGGCCTCTTTAGGGCCCGGGGTCACTAAACGGTGTTGTGACCCCAACCGAAGTGCTCTTTGGGGCCTATATGGGGAAAGGCGGTCCCTCAGGTATGTCGGACCCTGGCCATGTAGGGCTTTAAAGGTAAGCACCAGCACTTTGAAGTGAATCCGGTACGCTATAGTGAATTTGCGACAAAGGCAGCCCCATGTAGAGAGCGTTACAGTAGTCTAGCCTCGAGGTGACCATCGCATGGATCACTGTGGCCAGATCGTCGCGGCTAAGGAAGGGGACCAACTGCCACACCAGCCAAAGATGATAAACGGCTGCTCTGGCAGTGGCCGCTTCCTGGGCCTCCATCGTTAAGGTGGGGTCCAGGAGCACCCCCAAACTCCTAACCTCCGAAGCTGGCACCAGAGGAGCCCCATCGAAGGCCGGGAGTGGGAGCCCCAATCCCATACCACCCCGACCCAGGCACAGGACCTCCGTCTTCGCTGGGTTCAACTTCAGCCGGCTCAGCCTGAGCCACCCAGCCACGGCCTGTAGAGGCCGTTGAAGATCTTCTGGGTCGGAGTCTGACTGGCCGCCCAACATCAGATAGAGCTGGGTGTCATCTGCATATTGATGACACCCAAGCCCATACCTCCGGACAATCTGGGCGAGGGGGCGCATATATATATTAAATAGCATCGGGGAGAGTACTGCCCCTTGAGGCACTCCACATTCAAGCAGGTGCCTCCGGGTCTGCTGCTCCCCTAGCACAACCCTCTGTCCATTGTCTGGAGACACAGGACCCTGAAAATTCTACTCTAAACGTTTTCTAGCCTTAATCCTTCTTTCAGTTTAAGCAACGTTTCCTTTTGCAGTGATGGAAGACAAAACTGATCCTCGCTACCAGCTCCATCTTATAGTACTTGAAGCCAAAAATTTGCCAATGATAAGACCTGATGGCCTACTGAACTCATTTGTTAAAAGGTATGGTTGACAATGATTATATTAGATTTATCACAGTATGAAGGGTTTTTTTTTAACTTAGAAGAAAGCTTCATTACCCTTGGTTGGGACCCTAGACAGCCATGTTTGCCTGTCACAGAAAACATGACAGCATGGGACCTGGATGCGTAATCAGTTTGTGGGTTGCATAGGCTAGAGCCTGGTGCCTTCATCTATGAAAGTCCATGCCACAATAAAATACACTTGTCTTCAGTGCCACAAGTCTTTCGTTCTGTCAGATACGGACACAATTCAGCCTACATCAGACACTTTCCCATCCTGTTGCTTTCAGTAGGAAAGAGGTACTGGTGTGCTCAGTGCTCCTGTTGAAATCCAGCAGTCTTACTAAGTTTCTAACTTTGCTAAGCTTGTGCTCCAGCATCCTCCTGTTCTGAAACTCACTGCATGCTTTCTAAATCTCTTTTTGGAAGCTGCCTTTGCGTCCTGGGGCAACATGACATGAAACAAAGGACTCCTGTGCTGAAGAAACAAGCCCATCCACAATGGAAACACTTGTTCGTCTTTAATGGGGTTACCGCGTCTCAGCTGCAGCAGTCTTGCCTGGACTTAACTGTCTGGAATCAAGCACCTTTTGGCTTACGCGATCAGTTTTTGGGTGGTGCAAGGCTTGGAACAAGTAAGTTATTGTAAAAGACAAAGCAAAACAACCCCCAAAAGCCCCAAGTGTCAAGGAACGGATATATCGAATATGACACACATCACAGTAATGCCATGTTGCTCCAACGACAATAGCACAGTGAGAGAATGAGCTACTAGCCAGGAGGGCTCTTGTTCAAATATAACTGCAGCCATAAATACACAGGTTCCCATCTTCTTTGCCTCCCCCCCAGTTGTAAGGATTGTTTGAGATGTGAATGTGAAATGCTTTAGGAGAAAGCACCAGATTAAACATAAGAGGGGACCCACAAGGAAAAGAAGTCCAATTTTTCACCTGGCTGCCTGTTGTGGCTCTGCCCAGCCCTGGGATGACCTTTCCCACCCTTGCTGCCTCCTCCTGGTGGCTGGTCCTATGGCAGCTCAAAATGCCTGAACTCTGGTGCTTTGGGGCGGGGCTTGGTAGCCATATTACCATCAATGTTGGGGGAGGGGCTAATCCCCAAATTAGCTTGAGTTCCCCATGTTTAGAGAACTCTAAAACTGTCTCTGTGGCTGGAGACCTTGTGGCAACTTACCTATCCATGGAGAGCCTACTCATTGAGTTAGCATTAAATCATTTCTTTTGCAGAGTTGGTTACCCAGATCTTAATTCTGCACTTTTAACTATCCCAATAACCTGTATGTACGTATTAGCTGAGAGTATTCAAGGTGCTGCTCATATGCTATCTTGTTGTAACCCTTACAACAACCCTGTAGGGTAGACTCTACTATTAATTTCTGTGTAACAGATGGAGGATACCATCCGTATTGCCAGTTTGTGCCATGTCGGTTGGATAAAATTAAAGCAAACTGGTGTACAGACCCACTACTACCTAAGACTGCAGTCTGTTATGCTGAAAAAGCCCCATTAATGCTTGTGTGAACCGGGAGCCACTCTCTCGGTTCTTCTGCCAACGCCTGATAGGGCTCAAGGTCTCAGTCTGGCAAAGAGTGACTGGTTTTTCTCCGTCAACATTCCAAGCAGTTTATGCTTAAAAAGCTCACCTCTTTAATCTCCGGTTCGCCTCTGGACAAGGGGAGGGAGTCACCCAGTAACAACGCCGTTCCACAGTTCAAATGTTAGAAGATCACAACAATATTTATTGGAGATGATTACAAAATTACTACTCACTGCACTCCAGCAGTGAGTATCAGACGCGCCGAAATTCACAGGGTTCCCTGCTTTTTTGGCCCCCGTGGCCTGGAAAGGTAAGTAAAAAACCTGCCCAAAAACATCCGATATCAAGCTGTCACCCCCCTCCCTCAAGGGCTGGCAGCTAATTATTGTCTGCAGCTGTGGAGTTCTTAAAGAAAAAGGCAAAAATCCAAGGTCTTCTGCTAAGGCAGTTCATGGGGCTGGAGCTGAAACCACTTAGAGTGTCTGTTTCAAATTAATCATCTAAAAGTGAAAGGAGAAGCATATGCTGCTTCTGTACAATGCTTCTAAAGACACATGTAGATTTCTTTTCATTAGATCCGCAGCCTTGAAAGTTTATGCAGACTGGGCCCATTTTAGTTCTAAGATTCTCAAACTACCCCCCCAGTAGGTCTTCAGGTGGCAATACACAGACAAGGAAAAGAAATAAGAGTCATTGTTCCTGTTGCTCCCCCACTATAGCCAATGGGGGAAAGTAATGTATGAGGCTGGGGGGCATTCATGGCAATGTTTGGATTCTTTTTGTCAACCATACTTGTATTTCCCTCTGAAAGGGGGTGGGGCAGGCTGGGCTAGGAGAGAAATTATACACTTTGTGGGAATCAGCTCTCTGGTTCTTTGGCTGCCTCCCTGAGGCTTCATTCTATACAAGAGGTTCTGAAATGGATGAACATGGGTCTCCCAACCAATGCCCCCTCTAAGCTGTGGAGTCTTGTGAGCAAAAATTCTACTTTGTGAGCTCCTGGCATTAAAGTTGTGAGCAAGCAATTTGGCTACTGCATAAATTGGTTTGCTCTGGAGCCCTCCTTCCTGAGCTCAGACAAAAATGCGTGAGCGGGAGGCTAAAAAACTGTGAGCTAGCTCACACTAACTCAGCTTAGAGGGAACACTGGTCCCAACACACCAAGGAGCAAACATTTGGGAAAACCTAGCTGGAACCCCAGCCTAGACAACTAACAATGAATGTGGATACTTGGCCTCTAGCTAAGGTACATATACTAGGAGGAGAGAGTCAGCTCTCTCCCGACAGCTGTCTGTATTGCCTTTCAGAGGCCAGCGACAGAGAACCACTGGCCTAGTTGTTGCAGGCTGAATTAACCTGTTGCATTTCTCCATTATTCCCTGGGTTCCCTCTGATAATTTTTTCTTTGACGAAGTGATAAAAGCAAAACGGTCACATCTTTAGCAATGTTAACTGGAGCTGCTCTCTGCCTGCTTTGTCCCCTGGTAGGCTTTCCCTGTAGCAAACTCTTCTTCTCTCTACTGCCAAAGACTCGTGCAATCAAGTCAAACATGGAGGCTTTACAAATGCTGTAATTAAATATTTTGAAGCTAGATCAGTGGCTAAAGGAAATCATATCGTAGATGCCCTATAAACAAAAGCTGAGACAGTTTACATGCAGTCAATATGTTTATTGGATGGTGGTAGCTACTGCATTCACTGTAAAGATGTGCAGTGCAAGACTGATTCTTGAATCATCCTCAGTGCTGTTATAGTGTTTGGTGAAGGGCCTAGCATGCAAAGAGAACTGCTAGCCCAGGAAGCACATTAAGCTATGCTGAATCTGACTGATTCAAAACCTTCCTTCTTTCCCTGGATTTCAGCACTGAAAATGCACATTGTGCAATGTTGGTTTCAAGTTAGGCACAGGTATTGGCAGATTAATTAGGATTTTGCGGTAAGAACGATACTGATATAGGCATCAGCTAGTTTCAAGTGTATTAGGAGGGCAGCTTTCATGGGGAACTCATAAAACATTTACAGCCAACAAACGTAGTTCCATAGGACAGTGGAAGTTGTTTGCAGAGTTCTCTTTATAGCTGCTTTATTCCTCAGCTTCCGTACTTCAGTGTTTGCATGTCAGCATTAAAGATAAATACAGAAAATGATGGGTAGAATAGTTAAAAACCTGTTATTTTGATATATACAATCCTAACTAAAATAATGTGCATTTCTAATGCTTGTTACTCATTCCACTGCATCCTATAAGACACAAGCTAAGGAAGCTAAAAATTCTTGTTTTTTCAATGTTTGCAGCATTCCAAACCAGAACCTCAGATGCAATCTCCCAAGCATGTCTTCAGTGGCAACAAGTGCTCAGCAGCCCAAATGAATGGACAGATATAGCACTTACCTTACAGTCCAGTGCTAATATGTTTAACTTCTGAAACATTTTCAGTCTCCTCCAGCTGCAGTAGACAGAAAGCTATTTTTGTAGTGTTTTTCCTTGTGTGACTGGTATGATCTGTTTGTTATTTGAACCCAAGGAATAAAATAACATGATTACCTAGTTCTCCTTTAAAAACTAGTTCTCCTTGAAAAGGTCTAAAACCTTAAGAGATTATATGGTGCATCTATACACTAGAAGTGGTTAACAGCAAATCTATTACAAGTCACTAAATTTCTTAGGACAGCTGGTTGGGTAGCTTTGTCAATTTTGGCACAAAGATTTCTATTGAGAGAATGGTGCTAGCTTGGGAATTCAGTGAAGTTGTTCTTAAAATATTGTCAGTGTATCTTCTACTAGAAAACACATATTTCACTCTTCCATCGTCTTCCTGAAGCTAGACTAAACAGTGGACTAAACAATGCAATTGGATTGATCTCATCTCTCCCTTATTATAATTGAATAGTGGGTGCCAAAATTCTAAAATGCGCCCCGTTAGTGTATGGGCGGAAAAAATGCCACTCAGAAGACGCTGCCTGCGATGACTGGCTCCCTCAGCGAACCTGGGCTGCCATTGGCTGGGTGGCTGGGAGGGGAGGGAGCCAGTCATGCAGCCAGCGTCTTCAGAGAGGCCATTCTTCCGGACATACAGTAAGGCGCGCATTCGGCGAACGGAGCCGGTAGGCTCCGTCTGCTGGCTTTCCCCAACCAGGCACCCACTCCAGGCCGGCGAACGGAGCTGGTAGGCTCCGTCCGCCGGCTTTCC